GGAGTGAGGAGGGGGGTTCAGTTTCCTATTTTTCTTTTTTTTTGAGACAGAGTCTCACTCTGTCGCCAGGGCTAGAGTGCCGTGGCGTCAGCCTAGCTCACAGCAACCTCAAACTCCTGGGCTCAAGCAATCCTCCTGCCTCAGCCTCCCGAGTATTTGGGACTACAAATGCACTCCACCACATCCAGCTAATTTTTCTGTTTTTAGTAGAAATGGGGTCTCACTCTTGCTCAGGCTGGTCTTGAACTCCTGAGCTCAAGCCATCCTCCAACCTCGGCCTCTCAGAGTGCTAGGATTACAGGCGTGAGCCACCGTGCCCAGCTTTTTGTCCACTTAATAATCTATTTTGAGCTTCTGTCCATGTCAGTACATACAAATCTCATTTTAAACAGCTGCATAGTATTCCATTATACTGATATATGGTAATTTATTTAACTATTCCCCTATTCATAGATATCTGAGTTGTTTCCTAATACATTTCTAGGATAAATTCTTAGAAATGCAATTGCTGGGTCTAGTGACATGAACACTTGATATTATAACAGGAATTTCCAAATTGCCCTCGAGAGAGATTGTGCACAGTATCCCCACCACCAGTGTATGGGGGGACGTTCCCTTCCGGAAGCTCAGCAAGTGGGCTGCATGTACAATTTTGCATTACTCATTATAGTTTTGTGTATGTGCTATAAAAATCAACTCACCTTACTATAAACAATATTTGTAATGATTGCCTGGATTTCACCAAGTAAGTTTCTCAGGGTTGTGTAATTATGCCCTTATCTTGATGACTTAGGTGGGCTGTTCCGGTTGTCTGTGCTATTTTGGCCAGTGCAGGAAGAACATCGATTCATAGAAAGCTTTTGCTCATTTGGGGAGAAGGGTTTAGATTCTCAGAAGTGGAACCAGTGAGTACAAAGGGATTGTATGCCCACAGCTGTTGAGACATGTTTTCAAATCACTTCCCCATGGTGTGTGTGTGTGTGTGTTCAGTCTGCATGTCTTTATTGAGCATCTACTATGTCGGCCACTGTTCTTAGCTCTGGGGATGCAGCAAACAAGACCAAGCCCTCAGGAAGCTGACACTGTGGCCGCAGAGACAGAGGGAAGACACACGTATGATACTTCAGGTGCTACGAAGAAGAGTGAAGCAGGCGAGTGGATGGAATGGGTCCGTTTGGACACAATATCCTACTTTGCTCCTGATAGCTGTCCTTGGGAGAGTCAGAGGCACGGCACTAATATTCTCATTTTACCTATGAGGAGACAGGTAGAGGGGATGGGCTGAGCGCACACAGCAAGCGGGGCAGGACCAGGACCAGAAATCGACCCTTCGGAGCAGAGTCCACCGATCTTTCTGCCCCATCCCACAGTGTCTTCGTGAAGAGCCCAGTCTGCTGGCTCCTTTCAGCAGTGCCATCTGCAGACCAGCGAAGGGGACCCTGCCCCTTGCTGGTCAAGAACGACCCATGTTTTCCATTCCAATCCCGGCATCCCAGCTTTCAGGAGAAGAGGCAGGGATGCCTCGCCTCAGCCCGCATCTCTTATTGCCAAGGCATGCCAAGCTCTTTTCAAGCCCTGCCCTGGGATGTCCTAGCAGGTGGCAGCTGCCTCCAACGAGCTTGGACTTGCCAGAAGAGCACAGACTGTTCCTGTGGGCTTCTATAGGCCATCGTCCAACTGGAGGGACTCCGGAATCCTTTTCCACAGCTAATGCAGAGATAAGCCTACAGCAGTGGTTCTCAGTGAGGGCCATTTTGGTCCCCAGGGACATTTGGCAATGCCTGGAGATGTATTTGATTACTTTTTAAATACAACTGGGTGTGTGTTGTTCGGGGGCTGTTGCTACTGGCATCTAGTGGGTAGAGGCCAGGGCTGCTGCCAAACACCCTACAGTGCACAGAACAACCCCCACAACACAGAACGATCTGTTCCAAAATGTCAATCATGCTGAAGTTGAGAAATCCTGGATTATAACCACAGAGTTGACAGAGATACCTTGTTGGTAATTTTTGAGAGGTGAGAGAGGAGAAGATGGAGAAAGGAAAAAAAAAAGAGAGAGGTAGTGATTAGGAGCCAGGGTTTTGGTACCTAACAGCTCAGGCTCACAGGGGTCCACCATGTTCCAGTGGCTTCATTTCTCTGAGTCTTTCTTCATCTGTTTATTTTTCTTTTTAAAGACAGGGCCTCTTTCTGTTGCCTGGGCTAGAGTGCAATGGTGTCATCATAGCTCACTGCAACCTCGAATGCCTGGGCTTAAGTGATCCTCCTACTTTTAAAAAATTATTTCGTAGAGACAGGGTCTCGCTATGTTGCCCACGCTGGTCCCAACTTCTTGGGCTCAAACAATCCTCCCTCCTCAGCCTCCCAAAGTGCTAGGACAGCAGTGGGGAAGCTGTGACCTTAAAGCCACATGTGGCCTTCT